CCCCCCCCCGCCCTCGCGCGAACATTGTTACGCCCGCATATAAATAGCTGCGTACGAACAAATACGGCCGACTTGAATAATAAAAGAGCGATCCACTAACGGAGACCCAGGTTAATGTAACGAAGACGTCTTCTGGGTACAGCGCGGCGTACGCTTCTCGCACTGGAAGTTATGCCGGCAATAAAACGGACTGATCTAAAGGCCATTCTACAATTGCGTAAACGTGGTGGTCGGCGGTTGTACAGTGTTGCAAAACACAGTTTTAAACTAGCATTTCCGATTGTCGAGCCTGTTGTAAAGGACGGCTAAACTTCGTCTTTCACGACTACAACGACGTAGGGCGTAAAAGCTAACCAATCGTTCACCTCAATTACGACGTATCTCACTCTATTGCATATTACTTCGTTGTACAACACTTGCTACACTTTCTACTCCTACAACCCTACAACTACGTTTACGCAACTGTAGAAAGGCCTTAAGGGCACGAATATAACTTAAAGCGCGGGGAAAAGCGCGCTTTTGTTCGCCGCTCGAGGCGCAACGCGTTTCGAAAATAAAGCGGCTTCTCTATCTCTGTCGTTCTCGCTTTTACCCGACTGACGTCAACTAATGTTTTTCGATTGATATTATCCGCTTGTTCTCTTTGCATCGCTGGTTACCTCAATGAACTACCGCGATTAAATCAATAATCTTTATCACGCGCATCTTTCCACTTATCTCTAGGATCCGCGCGAAGTGTTCATTAGTTTTCAAGTGCCTGTTTAGACGTGACGGCACGATTTTTAATACGATTTATCATCAAGATAATCATCTTAAAATCACGTAATCCTAAATTCCCTGGCACTTGTAGCGCGACGCTGTCATCGTGACAAGAATTACTTAATTAGATGAAGATCTCTCACTTAGACTTTACACCGCCAGTTTAAAACGGCCAATATTTAACGTCGTAAACCGTAGCGTGTGAAACGACAATGACCTAAATTCTGCCAGTCCATCGTGATCTGTAAAACGCGCCGAGATTTGCTTAGACTTGACTAAGTAGAATGATTAATCACGATGTAATCCCGATATGACACATACATTCTTTCCTTTCGCGGGTGAAAATGGAGAGAGGGAAGGAAAGTCCACGTCGGTCTTTGTATGATGAAAAATGGGATCTCGAGTTGTCGCACACAATTCTTTTCTGTAATGAAGAATAACGGGAAAGGAGGAAAGAGCCAACAGAAGTGGCGTCCATCATTCCGGCGTGCAGCGATCGCAGACTCACCGCCCGTTTGCTGCGAAATCTGGCAGCGATTCAAGACTCGGGTTGAGAGAACGAGTCAGTGAGTCAGTAAGTATGAGAGAAAGAGAGAGAGAGAGAGAGAAAGGATAAAAAGAAAGCGAAGACTCTATCAATCCTACGATAATCCGCACGCATCGACAGTTTATTTCCATTTAGCGAGACTCTCGGCGGAAAATGTTGCTCGAAGATCCGATCGCACAACACGCAACTAGCCGAACGATTTTTTTTAATTTATCCTTTTGTGGGGACGACTTTCAATCGTTAGGTCATAGCAGCGTGCACTGACAAAAATGTTTTCGCTACCGCAGCTAATCGTGATCTGCCGAAGCTATACTTTGCTGCCGTAACTACAAATTTCTACACCGCGGCAAACGGTTTGCTGTCGCACCTGATACAATAGGCACAATGGCACAATATTGGCTATTACAACTAAATATCGCGCAAATTTTACAACCGGAGTTTTGTTACCACGTGCGGTGTTTAGCTACGACAGCTGCTTTTTTCTCCGGTGTGATATCTTAAAAAATTCCTTGAAATTCCAGCTCAATCTTGATTAAGCTCCTTCAAGCGCCGAATTGTTCGAAATTAAAAATACACGTGATTCGTTATCTCGGTTGATCGTGTTCGAAATCGCATTGTCGCGCCCATACGCGACGACGCGAGCGATGCCAATGGAAACAAACAGGAATTCCTCCGTGATTTTATGAAGCGAGTGATAACCGCAGCTGAGCCGGGAAGACTATTTCGTACATACGACGCCCCCGTTCTCGTTGCGCAATAAACGCGCAATCCCATTTTTAACTCGCTCTTATTCCACGGTATCTCTCAGGCTCTTGCCTCCGCGGCTCGCGAGGGGAATGCCATTTCGAGTGTACTTTTTACAACCGTCGCCGGGTATTACGAGCGAAATCGTCGCGATATACGCTCCGCAGTAAAAATGGTAGGTCTCGTAAATGCGAGACGTTGCGCGAGGACTGGAAAATAAAAGGCACAATTCCCCTCGCTATATCATCGACGGTGCGATGCGACTATTGTGACGCGATTGTAGCCCTATTAGCGCCTTCTCGTCGTGAAATTATCTCATCATCCGTGTTTCTAATTAAGAACAAAATTAATTTCGTATTCTTTATATCTTCCTCTAGACTGAAAAAAATTTTCCATCGGATAAATCGATCAAGTGGCGTTTCCGCGGGCCAGGATATTTCTCTCTCAGTGTAATATTCAAAATAGACAACCACAGAAAAAAATTCCGGATCCAATGCTGTTACACTTCAATGTATCATAAAATAGAATCGATTATTATAGAGAAAGAAATGTTTTAATCTCAAATGAAAAATTCTAAAATCTAGAATAATATGATAGTCTTTTGTCGAACATCGTGGGCGCCAACTTCGCGCGTTGTAAGATGGAGGGAAAATTTATTCCAAACGCAAGAATATAAGCTACTCTTGTCTCAATACAGTAAGTCAATCTTTTTCAATTCGATAGAGGAGGAGAATACGAATTATTGATTTTATTTTGATATTGTCTTATTTTTATACCAAATGAGATTGCGAGAAATAGAAATGCGTCAAGAATATTTTTGTCCCGGTAACAGAAATCCTTTCCGAGGGTGTAATCTATCGGCCAAACGACCACGTTTCTCCTTAATTACCGCGTACTGTTTCGTACGAACTTTAGGCTGATTCGACGCAGCTCTCAAGTCGTATACGCACCATCCGCTCTAATCAATTCATACGCATTAGCACTCGACCGGAAGGCAAATCCACAGCTGCCGATGTGCGGTGCGTTTCGTCGTTAGATTCTCGAGAGCCGCCGGCTGTAACGAGAGGCGCGCGCGCGCGCGCGCACCAATTATGCGGATTTCGCTGCGTAACGCACGCGTCTCGTAACGGCGCTATTTTCGCGCGTATGACTCGATAATGCCGCCAGGTCGCTTCCGCGCGAAAACGAGCGCGACAACGTCTGCCATTGTGTATCCCGCCAGGAATAGCGCGCAAAAGTCTAAACAGAGCCGCGAGTCGCTCATTATCCGCCCGCCGATTGCGCACACGGCGCGCGCGATAACGTAGGAGCGCGGCGGCGGCGGCAGCGAATCCGAAGCAGATGTCATTGTCATTCCGCGCAAAGCGTGCCGCTCACGTGAGCGTCGGGTCGACGTGGACCGCGATATGTCGGCCCGCGCGATGCGGGTACGCGGAAATGTACCGTATATCGGGGAAATTGGCGACGTCGGCGACGCGGCGTACGCCTCCGGCAGCCCCGATAAGGCACGAATCCGGCGTTCCCTCCGGCGACGTTCCCCTGCGGCTGCCGCAATGGACGCGGCTCCCCCGGCCGGGCGAAATCTTCCGCGCGACTCGAGTCGCCCGAGTTTATCGCTCGTGCGGTAAGGAACGGCGCGACGACGGCAACGAAACGCCAACGTTCGGGGCGACGTTTCGAAAGCCCCTTCGTATTTTTACGCGGCGATTTCGCCATGTGAACCTCCGGCGGCGGCGAGGCGCGATACACAATTTTATCAAGCGCGCGGACGAGTATCACGGGCGATCTCCAGCGCTCCCGCGAGGGCCGTACGAAATTGGGTTAACGGAGGAATTTGGGGGCAGAGGCCGGTAACACTCACCAGAGATACGTGCGCAGCTTAGTCGACGGTAATCTCGACGATACAAGGGCGTGTCATGGCGCCGATCTCGCGCCTACTCCCTTCGCACCGGCTCCCCGCGCTCCATTCCCCCGAGACCTTGAAGATAAAATAGACGCGAGAAGACACGATTATTCTTTCTGTTCTTTCGTTTTCCGATAAACAGTATTTCTCAAGCATCTCTTATCATCTATCACGACCACGCGGCGTCGGGACGGGCCGCGAGATGCAATTCGAAGCGGACTTTGCGTAAGAATCTTTTGCGAGTGTGATTTCAATAGGAAAAAAAGTATCTAATCTCGAAGTATTTGTAAAACGCAACGGAAAATTTGAAAGCCTCGCCGCATTTATCTCTCATTCGAGCGGAAATAAAAATAGATGTGTCGATGCCGAACAACGAAAGAAAGAGAGAGAGAGAGAGAGAGAGAGAGAGAGAGAGAGAG